GTGAGCTGTCTGGAAGAAATGAGCATAAGCTACAGCACTTGCCCCTACCTGGGATTGAACCCAGGACCTTCTGGTCAGGAGCTAGACACCTTTGCCGTCTGAGCTAACACAGCTGCGGACTCTACCCTATACTGTAGGTGAAATACTGTCATGGAGGCATACAGAGATCTCCAAGTTGAAGTTAATGTTGCTGTGAGTGTTGATTTCATTGTCATGTTTTTGATCATCCTAATAAGACCTTTAGCACTGGTCTTCCTTGAGGGTGGTGGATAATTCTGGGCTCTCCCAGTCTGCTCCTCCAGGGCACCCCAGGACCTCAGGAAGTGGGGTACCTTAGTGCAATTAAGGCTTCATTAGACCAATTTAACCTTCCTGGAAATTAGATCATTTTTGGATGATTTAAGAAGTCCTACAAAGACTGCTGGACTGTTACCCTGGAGGATCACACTTGGGGCTCCCTCAGGGTAATAATTAATAATTGCTTACACTTATATAGCGCTTTTCTGGACACTCCCCTCAAAGCACTTTACAGGTAATGGGAACTCCCCTCCACACCATCAATGTGCTGGATGATGCGACAGCAGCCATAGTGCACCAGAGCTCTCACCACACATCATCAGGAGAGCAGAATGAAGCCAATGATTGGTAAGGGCCAATGGGAAATTTGGCCAGGATGCCGGGGTTACACACTGAGTGAGGTTACACCCCTACTCTTTTCCGAGATACACCTTGGGAGTTTTTAATGACCACAGAGAGCCAGGACTTCGGTTTTACATCTCATCCGAAGGACGGCGCTTGTTTACAGTGCAGCGTCACCATCACTATACTGGGGCATTAGGACCTACATGGACCCCAGGGTGAGCGCCCCCTGCTGGCCCCACTAACACCTCTTCCAGCAGCAACCTTAGTTTTTCCCCAGGAGGTCTCCCATCCAGGTACTAACCAGGCTCACACCTGTTTAGCTTCAGTGGGCTGCCAGTTGTGAGCTGCAGAGTAATATGGCTGCTGGCTGCACTAATGTACAGTTTAGGACACCCCCAGTTTATTTTATGATAGCAAGTGGCTGGACTGCATCAGAAAAAGGCGAATCATAGGAAGAGCTGTTGCAGTGATTATGCTCATCAGTTCTTTAATTAACTGGAAAGCCCCATGTGCCGCCATCCATCCCTCCAGCCCCCAGTGACGTATTTCTCCAATAAATAGCGAGGGGTGTCAAGCCACATTTTCCATATTTACTGCAGTCTTGATTTATTCCAGAGGTTTGTGCTGGTCACCACAGCAAACACCTACAGATATCACTGAAGCCTAATTTCATTTAGAAAGCGAAGTGGACAGGGTGAAATATGTTAATATCAGGCAGCACACTGGGTCAAATAAAATATGGATGTACTTCTCAGACTCCTGCCTTTCCCATTTCAGAAAGAACTGTCTATTGATCAACCACATGGCTGAGGACCGCCAGCACTTTCGAGGACTGAAAATGTTAACCCCTCCGCAGAGAAAAGGCCAAAGGCAGTACATCACCAGGAATAACAGTGACTCCCCCAGAATCCAGTGTGCCATTCTTTACAAGTAGCCCCAGCGGCTGAGCTCAGTAACAGGATTGGAGCAGTTGTTCACAACAGCAGAGGGGCACTCCTCTCTGCTCGTTGTCATTCTCTCTTCTCTCCTTCTCTCCCTTCTGCTCTGCCTTTCCCTCACTTTCCTCTCGCACACTTTTCCTGTCCTCTCCGTCTGCTTCTTCCCCCTTCCAACGTTAGCTCCTCCTTCCTCCCTCTTCTTCATCCGCTCTTACTCTTCCTTCTTCATCGCCCCTCCAAGTACAGCCCTACTCTCCCTTCTGCTTCCTGCCCCTCCTACTCCCTCTCCCTCACTCCCTCTGTTCCCCAGGGACTGCCTTCATGGCTTTACTGGTTTTAATGGTGGTCACAGGATTTCGGCATCCCTGCTTTGGGGATCGCCTGGGGAAACAAATCCGTTGATGGTTGCTGTTTTCAGGCATTACATGTTATGATATATACATATAGCATAGGAAGAGTCCTGAAGTAAACTACAAAGCCTTGAAATTGAGATAGCATACACATAATACAAGGCCAAGCATTAAGCCACAGACACCATGTGCTGTTGAATGCTTGGTGTTGCATTATGTGTATGCTACAGCAGCTCCTGGGGTTGCTTGCCTTGTGTCTCATGCAGGTCCCGTTGTATCTGCTCATGCAGACAGATTATATTTTTACTGTGGACACAACTGCGAGAAGTCCAGAATTTAACTCTTTATTTGAATGGGATCATTTTATGATGGCAGGGCTCTGTACAGTACATTCAGTGCTCCTAGTAACCATCTACACCAGTGTCTTATATTTATTCGTGCACTGAACGAATTATTTTACTTTCTTTTACTTCATTCAAAGAAAAAAGTCGGATAATTAACCGTTCAATAACTAATTAATGATCTACAGACTGTTCATTTCTAAGACTTGAAGCTGCTAGCACTTATGTCCAGACCTGTACTTTCAGATTTGTTTTATGTTTTACATGTACGTATATACTGTTACGACTCTTGGTCGGAGCGTTATTTTTTTTTTCGAATTGCTTTCTCCTCTTTTTCTAGATGTTTCCAATTAATTAATTAAGTAGATGAAGCGGGAGCATTTAAAAAAGGAAGACGAGAGTGGAGGGAGGCTGAGAGATTGGATATGGGGAACGGAGATAGTTGAGTGGTGTGTGGTTTTTGGGATGGAGTATATTTCTTTTTGTTCTCAGTTTGGTTAGTGTAGATAGGTGTAGAATGCGGAAGACTTTTTTTTTTTGGTACGGCTTTATTGTTTAGGCACGACCACCTCTTTTTCCCCTGTTCTAGTCCATATAGTTTTTTTTCTTTTATAGTCGGTTAGCTTTGCTTGAGTTTTTTTTTTTTAAGTTTTGTCTTTCCCCTCCCGATTTCAATACGAACGTTTACTCCTGGTTCCCTGGATTTGTGGCGATAAAATTGATTTGTTTTCCCAGGGGAATCCGATCTCTCGGGTGTTCCTTTTATGTTGCGGCTTTTGGTCAAACCCTAGACATATTTTAAGGTTGTAACATAGAACTCAACCGCACAGATACTGTACATCTTAAACCGTAATGTACATACTGCTCCGCTCCCAGCTGGTGGTCCGGCGGGCACCGGCAGGAAGCCTAGGGAATATAAATTGCCTTTTTCAGTTCCCATTTGTCACAGGCTGTGGGGATAGGAGGAGGTGTGACAATAGAGAACAAACTTTTACTACATTGTCTTCCTTCTGCTACTCCCTCTGCGACCACCGCGTAGCAGAGACCCGGGAACCTAGTCTTTAATGGGACTGACTTTCATTAATCGTTTTTAGCGCCAGAGAGAGGAAAAGCAGTTCATAGGAACTCGTCAGTCCCTTATTGCAAATAGTACTAATTCCCGGCCCCGAGGGGGTTATATGATGGGACATCACAAGAAGAGCACAGAATACCTGTACACCTCCGGGCACTGTGAACAAACGCAAGCCTCCGGGCTTCAGTCTGTAACACTTCACCAATTAGGACAGCGGAAATAGCCTCTAGTACAGCAGCAGGGCAAGTGGTTTCTCAATGTGCACCAAAGTACTGCGTTCTTTCCTGTTCATGTTTCTTACATCTGCGAATACGAATATTTCACATCGGTAAATTTGTTTCTGCTCTGTATGATACTGAAACTCCCTGTCAGTCCGTGGTCTTTGTGAGCACGGAATTGAAGACCTACTGTGCGGCGGATGGAGACGTTCTGTGGGGGGACTCTGGTCTTAGAGAAACAGTGTGCAGCTGAACTGGGGCTGAGTAAATCACTCGACGGCTATGCAGTCCTGTCACGGATCACCCACACACTGACCCCGGGAGCAGTCCGTTCAAACAGGAGCGGCAGCGGTGTTTGGAAAAGCCCCATCTGTTGCCCGCAAGTTTTCACTGTTCAACGTGCGTTACCTGGTTTTATCTATTTCTGCTGTACTGTATGTCTGTGTGACGTTAACCCTTTTGCCCAGTGTTCAGTAATACAAAATGTCAAAGTATATTTAGTCTTGTTCCAAAAAGGTAACAGTCCAAGCTTCCCGAAATTAAATTTAAAAAAACAAACACTGTTCACATGTGTTTTTGATCAGAAACAAATACTTGATAACTGTGGTCCAGATTACCGGTCGTCCCCTAACCGGCTCGTGTGTGGGGGTGTTCTGCGATGGACTGACGCCAGGGTGTGGTCTGGCCCTGTGCCCGTCGTTATGCTCTGACGTAGAATAAATCGGCGGCTAAAAACCAACGGACAGTTTGTACCACGAGTGATTTATCGGTGTGGAGAAGGGTGGGGTTCAGGGAAAGCACCCCGGATTCCGCACGCTAGCCGGGCGCACAGTTAAAGCGCTTCTAGTCTCTGCGTGACACCCACCAAACCCGCTCGCCATTTCGCGGTCCCAAGAGCTAGGACAAGATTTACGCGGGTTCCTTTGCATTTGCTGGGGCTATTGTGTAATAAAACTCGACCCCCGGGGGAGGAAGGAACTCGGGACGAGAGTGCACGTACAGGTACTTGCGCTTATGATGATGGTGGCGGTGGTGGCAGTGAGGTAATTAAGCGATGCTGCGACAATATTAGCTTTGGCGTCGGTTTTGTGACTCTATCCCGTGGTTTCTCAGATGCAACGACCTCGTAAGTTCTGTCTCTCCTGGAGTAATCAAGCTGATGATTTAACCCTCTTGAGCCAGAGTGCCACTTTTATTTCAAGTTGCCATATACACTGTGCGGGCGCTCCTGATTCCAGTAAACAGGCTATGAGGTAAGATTTAATGGCACGAGCAATGAGTTGACTCATTTGCATAATAATTGTATATTTAATGTTACAACAGTGGCAGCTCCCTCTGAGTGACACCCCGCGCAGCACAATCTTCGTGCAGGACGTTATATATTTCCCCCAATAGCGAAGACATTTTCCATCAGCACACGCCGCTCTTTAATTTCAGGTGCGGTACAGTAAAGGGTTGGAAACGTAGCGAGCATCACGGCCGCCGCCCCCCGCCCTAAACACCCCCCCTCCGAGCTCTCCCTTACTCATTCGCTCTCTCCAGCCTTGTAGAATCAATGCACCGAGAGCCCTTTCTCTAATCGGGCTTTACAGTTCATCTGTGCGCCTAGCGAACATCGGTAAGTGTCGGCTTTTTAACTACCCTTTCTTATCTTTTCTGATAAAGCAATAGCCGTAGAGCTGCAACCTTTTTAGGCTTTAATACCGTGTCATTTAAAAAATAAACTTTTTTTTCCCATATCGTAACAAACGCGATGAATTTCTACTGACATCTCCGTCAAGTGATTTGGGAAGTGTATTCGTGTGCGTGTTATTTAAAAAGAGTATGTTGCATAGAGCTGTTGGCTTTCTTCTACACGTGTGTTTGATGGGTTTGGTCTTGTTAAAACCGAAATAGCCGGAGTAGGTACAGTATGCAAGGCTCAGAGCGGGAGGGGTTGCACGGTGCGCCCGAACCCTAGCAATACAGGCTCCGCTTATCCCAGGATGTTAATGAGGAACAATCCTCCTAGCCGACACCTGCTGCACTGTAGCGACCCGAGGAAGACGGAAACATCCTTCAAGTCCCGCGGTAACTTTGCGCAAATCCTTGCAACACGTTTTTCGTTTACAGCTGGCTTTTTTCCGGACGGGAGCAATAATGTTAAAATATACAGTACGCGTCTTATCAACTATATATATGAGATGAAGTCTGAAGTGAATTAAAAAAAAGGTGGAACTGTTTATTTTTAAGTTTTCATAAAACAGTGTTCACTAGATGTTCCAACACTGCCATTCCTTTGTAGTATTTTTCAAAAGTCGGTGAGTGTGCAAAATAATCTGAAAAAGTCATTATGACTGCAACAATAATAATAAACGAATCTCCCTATCCATTGCGATGTCCTACTCTGGTGTTATTATCGATGAGGGTGAATGCTCAAAGACTCTGGATTCATACGCTGTGGAATGTTCGTTTGCATTTTAACCGGATTACGCGTTAAAACCTTTATGTGTAACAGTCCTAGTGTGGCGTTATCCGTTTGTGGATAAGAGCTGGCCGAATCCGCTACACCAGGGTGCCTAGCAGCGATTGCGAGAGCGGAGGAGCTGGGTGTGTAATATATAGCCTGTAGTGTTAGGAGACCCCTTAACTCCGAAGTGTCAGAGTAAAAATTTCATCAGTCAGGGTCTGTGATCACTTTGATTAAGGAGTAATAAACCTCTTTAACGCGCTGGAATAGAGTTTCTGGATTGGATGTGTGTGCGTGTATGAAGGGAAAAGACACACTCTCTTCTTTGAAAAGCTGTTTGTCCTTACACAGTCCGTTGGGGAAGCAAGACTGTACAATAACGTGCTTGTATGTATATTTCCCAGTGTGTATGTTGTATTTAGTCAAGCACCCAGTGTACGTCTTAAATGAAAGACCCAGTGGACTCAGTTTTTAAATGTGTTGTAGGTGGAGGAAATAAGCACAGTCGATTAATATCTGTATTCAAGGTGCACGCTGCTGTCAGGCTGCGCTGTACTGGGATCACAGAAGTAATTGTTATATTTCAACTCTTATTCTTTATGACTGGAGAAGAAAGGGTGGCGAGGCTGTATCATGTCTTACGCTGTGGAAAAATGTACAGTACTGAATTACATTTTTTTATGATTCAGCTAATTCTGAATACATACTGGGGAGGAGGTAATGGAGATGCCATCAGCCCCCCTGTACTGGGGTGTCGGGGAACAGGGATGCTGTGATCGTGTCAGTGTTTGTGTGTGATCTGTGAGGGGTGAGAGGGGAAACTGTTTTGCTAGGCCGACCGGGAGTGTGATGGATATTTCAGTGCATGGACGATGGCAGGAACCGGTACGACACACGTCAGCTCACATCATCCTGACGGAGCTCCGATTCTGCCAAGGCATTCCCTCATGAAAAAAGAGCCAGAAGGAACAAAGCCGAGCACACAGGGCCATACGCAGGGAGAGAGACCATCGCTCTCTTTTCCGAACTACAGGACCCGCACAGGCAGTGAAGTTTGTCTCCTGTTTCCTCATGCACTGCCACATGGGATGGCCAAACCGCCGAGCCCAGATCTGTCAGTCCAGAGGGAGACCCCAATATGGCACGCCCGTCCAACTGTCTCCCTCCACAACTGATGCTTCAGACCATGTAGCAAGCAGGGTCTTCAGCAGCATCACTGGCCCCTCGGGCTAAACACCACCCCTGTGCGTTCACTGACCTCTCGGGCTAAACGCCACACCTGTGCGTTCACTGACCTCTCGTGCTAAACGTCACACCTGTGCATTCACTGACCTCTCGGGCTAAACACCAGACCTGTGCGTTCACTGACCTCTCAGACTAAATGCCACACCTGTGCGTTTACTGAATTCTCAAAAGGAACGCTGTACCTCTGTGTTCACAGAATTCTAAAACAGAATGCCACACCTGCGCGTTTGCCAAATTCTTGAGGAGAATGCCATACCTGTGCAGTCGCCAAATTCTCGAATGCTTTTCCTCTGTGTTCACTGAATTCTAAAACACTGTACCTTTGTGTTCACTATTCCATTCTAAAATGGAACGCCACACCTGTGTGTTCACAGTACAAGTGACACTTGTCCACCTACCGTTTTTCAGGCAGTAACCTCACGTTCTGGTCTCTCCCCACATTTGTGAATGAGTCTTTGATTTCCAGTACTGTTCACATTTTTTTTAACTTAGGATACAATCTGATGGAACGTAAATGAAAACAGATGTGGGGTATGTTATAATTGCTCAGCATGCTCATACACTCCACCACTTAATATTGGCATTGTAATTTTTTTGATGAATGTGGTTAGTTATTGCCATTGACATCAAAACCTCTTTCTCCTGGGAGACGGGGGTGATGGGAATGAGGAAGATAATGGACAGTCACCCACATTAATGTGGAGAGGGATCTGTACAGGACAGGCACGGCAGTCTGTTCTTGAACTGCCTTTCTAACACTGAGGCTAATATCATTTGCTGTTGCTGGAGCCTCTGTAATTTCCACAACTCAAGTAGGACATGAGATTGACATCTTATCTGAGAGATGGCACTATCAACAGCACAGTGCCCCCGCAGTGTCATCATACTCTCCCATCGATATAGGGTTTCTGGTCCAGAGGGAAGAGCATCACCTGCTGGCCTATAAGAAGCAATGTGTTTTCATTGGAGGTCTCCTGTCATGGTACTGATCAAGCCCATCCTGGCTCGGCTTCTGAGATGTGGCTAGATCAGACTTTAGGATGGGGGTGGAATGAAGTCAATGTGGGTATTGAGGGTTGTCTCCGTTTCTTCACATGCTTTCTGTCCAAGACAGCTGATTGAGGTTTTGACTTCCCCATGGGCTTTTTTTAACTCTTTTTCTGGGACCAGTCACACTGGAAGGAGGGTGTGAGAGAATGTGTGCAGGGTGGTTATTCAGAGCTACTTAGGTGGCTTCTTGCCAAGGCTAACGAGACTGATTTTTGGACCAGCACCTTCTCCTGGAATGTAATGTTTTTTGACTTTAGCTTTCATCCTCATGTCTGAGTACAGGAAACCAGGCCTACATGTGTTCAGTGAAGCCATGTGTCTCTGGAACACAATGGCAGCTCTGTTTCCCTCTGGCTCTAATTGCACACAGACATAGAAATGGAAACTAAGTCTCTGTCACAGACAAACACACATAACAATACACATACGCACATTCACAAGGGCAGAATTTGACAGCGCAAATATTTATATGGCCCCCATCTCCCCCTGACATCACACATTAACAGCACCATAATAAAATAAAGTAGCCTACTCACTCATTTGAATTTCTTCCTCTGAGACTGACACTCCGCCGAGTCATCTACAATCCCTCTGTAGAGCCCTTTGATATGACATACTGCTTTACTTGTGCATCTGTTATATTTTCAGCAAAATGCCGTCTGTCGGTCCAATAGACATCACCTGACTCAAGTTCACTGCTATGGTGTTGCTGGAGGTCGCTGGGGAAGTGAATTCCTCATCATCACTCTGTCTCTTTCCTCCCCAGTCTCACAGCACAGTGCTCTGCTGGCAAGCAGTAAGCTAGAGTTAATAAAGACTTCATGCTCAAACTCTTCGTCAGCTGCAGGCTGGAAGAACATCTCTGTTTTAGCCAGTTTGGCTGTAGCCTTGAATTTCTCTCTCTTCATTTTTCTTTAAAAAGCACCACATCTGTTCTTCTGTGGCAGAAGTAATGTAGTATAACTTTAGATATTATTGTGATGAGCTACGGCTTATTTTGAACATTGTCACTGACTTATATTTTTGTCCTGATGTCTTTTTCCCATAAAACTTTATTTTGTAGTTGGAAAATGTAAACACTGCAATCAACATATTTCTCATGGCCACTCATGTAAGTCTCGTCAATTAAATAAGTTAGTTAAATTTTAATTAAATTTTATATGCATGCACTCAACCCCAGATCTAAACCTGCCCTTAAATCCAATTCTATTTCAGGAAAAACATAATCATCAAGCAAATGACAGGAAACTATTTCAAAAGTCCCATGGGAGAGACAGACTTTCAATATTAGTGGTTTAAATACAAGTGAGTTATGATCAGTATGATAGAATGATAACTGTTTTCCTAAGACGTGCAATGTTTACCTTGCTGTGTGTCACAGATTGAAATACTCAGATGTAGGGGAGGCCAACTCAATATCACACTCTTGAGCTCTTACACAAATCAGAGCAGGAAATCTGGAAAAGGCATCAAGCTTTTTGTTAATTCTGCTAAAGGACCTGAATATCCATTTCACCTCATCATTAGCAGTTCAAACAAGAAGGGGGGCTTCCTCCCTACTGACATCGAGCATGCACCCCTTAGTTCAGCCTGTCAGCCTGTACACGGCTTGTCTGACTTCAGCCTGATCTTGACAGCCGTAGATTAGGCATGATCAGTTTATCCATCAGCAAGAGAGGCTCCCAGACATGCTGTCAAGCTACTAAGCTGAGTGGTGGGTTGATTTGGTGGTAGACATTGCGAAACCAGAGGTTAGGTTACAGGAGGTTAGGAAATTGATAGGCTGTTGGAAATTGAAAGAGCATGCTGGGCCAATGAGCCTTTCATGACTAAAATCCTATCCCATGTGTTGGTGTATGGAAGGACAAAGGGTGTCCAATTCCACCCTGTGCCAAACAGTACTAGATAATGCTAGATTATCCCTAGTTATGGGGATTGCCCTAGTGGAAGCAGGGTTATTTACCAAAATCCTGAGTGGGAATTTCATGTGTCTGAAACAACACAGAGTGGATGCACAAGCACAGGTTTTCTCAGAAGCTTGATCGTGGCGTGCTATCGGAAAGAAAGTCAAAACGAGAAAACGTTCTAGCCAATCGCTAGTCCAGACACCAGTGACATTAGCCTTGGCAAGAAGGAACTGTATAACTCTGAACAACCACCCCAAACATGTACTCTCTCCCTCTCCTTCCAACCCAAGGCAGTGCAAATATCCCAGGCTTACACCACCAGACCAGGGGGAACCTTGTCAAACCTCAATCCCTTGTCTCAAGCAGAAGGAAAGTGGAAAAGCAGGACACAAAGCTCGCTGTCCAAATTAGCACTTTGCCCCTCTTCCACCTGGAAATCTGATTTTACCAGCAGTCAGGAGCAGAGCCAGGCTGGGCCTGGTCACGACTCACACTGACCATCATGTGCATGTTTATGCCACTGGCTGTGAAGATGTGCTTGTGGAAAACAAATTGGACAGTTACCATTTATTAGGCTGCCTCTTGCTTTCATGAGACAGGGCTCAACGGACAGCGCTGGCACTGCCAGCGTGAGGATTGTGGGATTCTGTGGGGGAGCTCAGCTTTCTCATTCAGTTTTAGGCTGGGGGGGCTGCTGCCCTTGAACTCCACCATTTTTATGTAAAAAGAGAAGGGATGATCGAAAGCTTTTGCCAACTTCTAATGATTGCTTTGGCGCTCTGTTTGGGCTCCCTGAAGAACAAGTTAATGTACTGGGATTGTCCTATAATACACAGCTGTATCAGAAAATTAGAGAACACACCTGGCAGCAGGCTGGTCCTCCTCCAGTGCTGATTATAGCTGCTACATATCATGGCACTGATTTCACTAGACGTCCACAGGAGATCTGGGGCCACTCAGCCAGCACCAGAAATAACCAAGGAGCCCATAGATACCCAGTTCTGCCTCCCAGCATGACATTGCTTTTTAGTATAGGACCCAGTGCAGATGCTCATGCAGACGGCTGATATTTCCACCCTGTACTGCACTGGGTGGGAGAAGAGAAGGTGCTTCCATTGTCTTCCTCGTTGTTTTACTGAGGGATTTTAAGCTCCAGTGCTGTTCTCCCCCTGGAACTCCATGTGGGTGTGTGCTGTCAATGGGCAACCCACCCTCCAGATCAATAGAGCTCATGAGTCATCGGCACCATCATCCTCTCTGACAGATGAGTGTCGCAAATCAATCCAAACAATTTTAGAGTGTAAGAGGAAAGATGTTCAAAATAAATCCTGACGTTTTAGTGCATTAAAGAATCATCTCTGTTTTCCTCTGTCAACCCCCCCCCCCCACCATTTCTGTATTTAGAAGCCTGTCCTGACGAAGAGCAGCAGAAGAAGAAGGAGGAGAGAAACGCAAGCGGTCTGGGACTCAATCATACACATATACAGAGACTCAAGATCTGGCATTTATTCAGAGGAATCTTGTTTTAGCATGACCACACAAAACGTGAATCAGTACTACTGTGTTGGGCATGTGACAAGCCGGGAGCAGAAGGCTGGGATTGTCTAGGAAGTGTGGAAAGCGTGGAACAGGGATTTGGGGGTGCTTTTCATTTAGCCTTTTTTCCAAGAGGATTATTTCCTGGAGCCAGACCACAATGGAGAAGACCTACTCGCTGACCGCGCACTACGACGAATTCCAGGAGGTCAAGTATGTCAGCAAGTTCAACAGCGGCACCCTGAGCAACGGGCTCAACCTGCCCCTGCCGGGGGCGAAGCAGCGGCCCGGGCGGGGCGGGGGGGAGCCGGGGGGCTTGCCGCGCTGGAGCCGGCGGGAGATCTGCCTGCTGTCGGGCCTGGTGTTCGCCGCCGGGCTCTGCATCATCCTGGGCAGCATGCTGGTGCTCAAGTACCTCTCGCTGGAGCAGGAGTGGACCTGCCTGGAGGACTGCGAGCACAAGAAGACTCTGCTGAAGGCCTCCCGCTTCATCTCTGGCAACATTGACCCCACCATCGACCCCTGCTCCGACTTCTATTCCTTCGCCTGCGGGGGCTGGCTGCGCCGGCACGGGATCCCGGAGGACAAGCTCAGCTACGGCATCATCACCGCCATCGGGGAGCACAACGAGGAGAAGCTGCGGCGCCTGCTTCTGCAGCCTGCGAAGCGCCCGGGCCGCGACTCCGCCGAGCGCAAGGTCAAGGCCTTCTACCGCTCCTGCGTGGACCTGGCCGAGATCGACCGGCTGGGCGCCCAGCCCATGATCGAGGTCATCGAGAGCTGCGGGGGCTGGGACCTGGCCGGGGGAGGCGGGGGAGGCGGAGGGGCCGGCTGGGGCACCGGGCCGCGCCCCGATTTTAACGAGCTCCTGTATCGCACCCAGGGGGTGTACAGCACGGCCGCCTTCTTCTCACTAACCGTCAATGTGGACGACAAGAACTCCTCCCGCAACGCCATCCGGGTGAGTGCTGGCTACCCCTGCTGCCCGGGGAGAAGGAGCCGTCTTCACATGTCCGCCCTCTCCCTGGAGCAGCCTGGCCCCAGCCCTGGTCCTAGAGAGTCCCCATCCAGCTCGTTTCATACGTCCTCTTAAAACACGTCAAGGGAAATCTGGCCCCTGAGATGACAGATCAGGTGATTTTTATTCAAAATGATCTCTGAATTATTTAATTTAGCATATCAATTGTACGATCTGTGGACTGAGGCATTCCAGGACCAGGGCTGGAGACCCTTGCCCTAGATTCTGTGTGTGAAAATCAGACTCTCGTTACACAGCTGTTTTATCATTTCCAGGCAAATACTGTTGTTGTTCTGTGAGCTAAACTCCCTTAAATTCACTCTGAATAAGATGACACCTTTTAAAGCATCCATTTCAGGCTTAAACGCAAGAATACAACATGTAGCATGAGACGTCGCAGACTGCTGGATGTGTTACAGTACACCCAACTCTACAGTTATCCTATATGTATGTATGTATGTCACAAAGCAGAGAGAGGAGCTTTGGGAAATGGAAAAATCACCTACCACAGATCCTAAAGCCATGGAGTAACTGCTGCACTGCCACAGAGCGTTAATTACAGCCCTATTCCAGAGCTCCATAAGCAGATGTTAGGTGATGTTTATATATTACAATCTTTGCAGGGATGAATTCACTCAGAACCTCCAAAACAATGCAATTAACAGTGTGCCACTTAAGCACAAAGACCCAGAAACACACTCCTATGAGGTTTCATTCAAAGAAGTACTAAATGAGTGCTTTCACAGAGGTATTGCATGGGCTGTGGCAGGGCAATCGGCATATAATATCCCCTTCTTGAACACCGTTTGACCTGACAGATACCATTTGCGAGGAGGCCATACTTGTTGATAACATGCTTGCTGCAAAATACAATTAGCTGCTCTTCGTTTCTTTTCAATTTCTGAAATGATTTCAGAAAATGGAAGGTGTGTTACGTTATAATCCTGAAAACGGAACTCAAGGCTTCAATTTATTTGTATAAAGAAATGCTATTAATCAAGATATTTTAGATATCTACTGAGGGTCACAAGAAACCTATCATATATGCGATGGAGTCACGAATTATCAAGAAAATGTGCTCTTTTGTAATGAGCGCACTGACATTTTATGGAACAGATGTAAATTCATAGTGCCAGGTAACATTTGTCATTGTCAGTGTCAGATCCATTGACACTGCTCTTCCAACATTCACTCAAGTTGAGAGACTTTCCCGGGGACTAGAGAATAGCTAATGTAGTGCCCGTCCATAAGAAGGGTAAAAAACTGAACCAAGTAATTATAGACCAGTAAGCTTGATTTCTATTACATGTAAGGTTATAGAACCAATTATTAGAACTTAACTGGAGGCTCATCTATATGGAAATAATATCTTAGGGAATAATAACAAGCAACACCAGTATTAGATACACACAGAGCGTATGGTATAGTGTATTTGGATTTTCAGAAGGCTTTTGATAAAGATTAAGTCTTAAATTATAGAAGGTAGGCAATTCACAGAAATGTGAAGCACTGTGGCATAGTGGTTAGCATTTGTGCCCCATAATTCAATATATTTTATTCATCTCCAGGGGGGCAATTTAATGCTGAGCCCCTCGGTTCAATTCCTGGGATGCTATCTGTATGGAGTTCCTGTGCTCTCCTTGTGTTTGTGTGGGTTTCCTCCGGGTGCTCTGGTTTCTCCAACAGTCCAAAGACATACTGGTGCAGTGAAAATGAAATATATCCTCACAAATAAGACACTACCCAGGATGACCACAAGGTGGAATCATTACCTCTACTTTATTGGTTTATCGACAAAAACCCACCCCCAACTCTACCCAAAGACACAGGTAGGTTAAGTGGCTTCTGGAAGAATTGACTCTGGTGTGAGTGTATGTCTGTGTCTGCTCTGCAGTGGTTTGGTGTTCCAGGGTGTATCCTACCTTGTGCCTGTTGCTTGCTGGGATAGACCCCCGTGCCCTTGACATAGCCACAAACACACACACTAAACACATGTAGTACCCCAGGAACTGAACCCAGGCTCCCAGCACTGTACTGCAGCAATGCAGTATCACTGAATAACCACTGAGCCACCGTGCTGCCCTGCTCTTTCACTGATTATGTTTAAATGATGGTTAAAGAAAAACTGTCTGATACAGTATGTATGCCCTGTCAATGGCCGTGCTATGCCACTCTGTTGGCTTTCGTAATCAGAATGATTTTCGGACAATATTTGCTGGCAATAACGCTAATTCAGATACTACTGTATATTTCAGTGTCCTGGCTTATACAGTGTACTGGTTAGGGCTCTTATTTGTCATCAGTTTGTTTACGGCACTACGGGTTTGCCATCACGTGTACTGAAATGCTTGTTTGCTTTTCTGATCCGCACCATGGAATTGCTTTCCAGATGAAGTGGTCAAAGAGAAACTGAATTTAAAACGAAATCAAAAGCAGTCTGAAAAGCAAATTTTAGTTTGCTGCTTGCTTTCCACACATCACTCACTTTGAGATATTGAGATTGTTTCTTAGACTGCCTACAGAGTGAAGGAACAACAGATTTTCTGTTTACAGCTAAAAGTTGCATAAAGGCCTCTGATCAAAATATTAATTAGTTTCTACATTATAATTTAGAATTTCTTAAGTTATTAATATTTCAAAATACTGTACATGTTCTCGACTTTGAAAATGTTTTCTGTATTATTTGTATGATTTCCTTTGACTCTTTTCCATTGTAATATTATCAGAAAGGAGCACATTGTTGTATGTTTTTATGTCCATGTTTCTGATGGGGAGGATACTGGTGTCTTGAAGTGTTGATGCTGATGCAGTCATTTTAGTTTGTTCTAAATGTTTCACAAGTTAAAAATGAATGAAAACCTTTTGCAATCTTACATTTTCCAGCGCTGTTAGGTAAAACGGCATGTTATATGAAGGATGTATCATGATGTTGGGAGCTGAAAGAGGAGTGTTGAAGTGGCTGAATGACTAGTGGCTGGAGAAGGGAGTTTCAGATTGAACAGACCAGAACAGACCAGATTGAACAGATTAGCCATTAATTGAAAAGTAGCTTAAAATGTAGCTAACATCTATTTTTACTATATCTTATAACTTTATTTTGCTGCATCTTTAAAGAAGCATCTCCTGCACTTTTGTATTCAATTTGCCCATTTCAAGCTGTGAGACAGACCAAAAAAATATGGGAAACCAGTGGTGAAATGTATTCCCTTGGTTAGCTACACATGAAGATCTTCATGCAGTGTTAGACTTATAGATGGAATGGCTTATTCTACAGATCAAAGCAGAAAGACCAGTTTGTGAAAACTTCAAAGAAACTACCAATATTGCAGCATTGTTGAGTCAAGCTTCTAAACGTATTGTATCCTCGTCACATGTGCACTCACAGATAACACCCCTCTTCTGACACAGTCACTCACAGATAGCACAGCAATACTGACAGTCACAGATAGCACAGCAATACTGACAGTCACAGATAGCACAGCAATACTGACACAATCACTCACAGATAGCACACCAATACTGACAGAGTCACACACAGATAGCACACCATTACTGACGCAGTCACACAGATAGCACACCATTACTGACGCAGTCACACACAGATTGCACAGCAGTACTGACATAGTCACACAGATACCACAGCAATACTGACACAGTCACTCACAGATAGCACACCAATACTGACACAGTCACACAGATAGCACACCAATACTGACACAGTCACACAGATAGCACAGCAATACTGACACAGTCACACACAGATAGCACAGCAATACTGACACAGTCATTCAGATAGCACAGCAATACTGACACAGTCACACACAGATACCACAGCAATACTGACACAGTCACACACAGATTGCACAGCAGTACTGACATAGTCACACAGATACCACAGCAATACTGACACAGTCACTCACAGATAGCACACCCATACTGACAGAGTCACACACAGATAGCACACCATTACTGACGCAGTCACACAGATAGCACAGCAATACTGACACAGTCACACACAGATTGCACAGCAGTACTGACATAGTCACACAGATACCACAGCAATACTGACACAGTCACACACAGATACCACAGCAATACTGACACAGTCACACACAGATTGCACAGCAGTACTGACATAGTCACACAGAT